GCCGTCGATGAGCGTTGTGTCGCCCTACTCAGATTGGTGTGTCCTGCACCGTCGTGTCTTTTCGGCCGTGCCGACACCTTCCGCCACCGATTCGGCATGTTGAATCAGTAGGCTGTCGGCCAAAGGCCGTCGGCCAAATAAATGACTCTGATTGGCTGTTCAGCTAGCGAATCAGTGCATGAGAAGCAAAACGGAAGTGAGGGACCCAAACAAATTATTAAGAAGGCAAATCTGAGATTTCATTTAACTCCAGCTCTCGACACAGGTTCGGGAAAGCCCCATGAGCTTCTCGTTGTAGAGTGAAAATGGAACGCACACGCTATTTGTTGTTTGTTTATATCACGTTGTCTGTTCTTCTTCTCTCGGTGTATCATGCAGTCTGTCTTCCGGTTGTTGCCTCTTTTGAATGACGAATACACACTACCGCCGCCTGCTGGTAAGGAGAGTTATTGCCACTCATGCATGCGCAGTTCATACGTGCAACTTGGCCGTCGGCTGAAGTCTTTGCGGTGTTTTCCAGTGCGACACATGGCCAAGACGCAGGAGACGTGAGGCGACGTGAGGCGGCGTGAGGCGGCGTGAGGCGACGTGAGGCAACGTGAGGCGACGTGAGGCAACGTGAGGCGACGTGAGGCGACGGCGACGTGAGGCGGAGTGAGGCGGCGTTCCGTCGGGACATGTTCTTTGATGTTCTTTGGTGTCAGTTTGGTGTGTAAGGAGCTTTAGAGCACCATCGTTTGTTTTTAAACCAAACAGTTCTCAGGGGGGCGTGGCCAGCAGCAGCTCATTAGCACTTAAAGCTACAGACACAGAATCAGCACTTTTGAAACCGGGCTGAAACAGAGGGGATTATGGGATGCTGCAATGCATGATCTGTTTGGTATTTATAGCCAAACACATCAGAGACATGTTTGCATATATCTGAGACCTATATATTGTTCAAATAGAGAGTATAATAGGGGCCCTTCAATTTTTGGTAGAAATTATTATAGTAAGTAAATCATTCTGTAGTAAGGCCTAAAATTAGGGCTTAAATCTGAAGTGGATTTTTGTTGATCTAATGAGCATGGTTTTGAAAAATGTAAACATTTTTGCAGTTTTTCTATCTGCGCTGTAACACCATGTTTGGCCTGCAGATGGCGGATGAGCCTTTAACCATCTTGCAGAATTTATTTCAACTGCATCCCTCTCAAACAGGTGTTTTAATGAAGTAAAATGACTGAAAGCGCATTGTGACAATATTAATGTACATTTTAAGAATACATTTATTTTTAAATATTTTTTAGGATTAAAGGTGGGGTAGGTAAGTTTCAGAAACCGGCTCGAGATACACTTTTTGTTATATTCCATGGAATGCTCTTAACATCCCGATAGCAATGAATATCTTAAGTGCTTTGACAAAAAATCCATAAAAAAACGTCATCTGTGGAAGCTGTAATACTGTAAAAAGCACGACCAATCCGTTTAGCCGGGCCGGCTAAACGGATTGCCGCCCTGTCTGTCAGCCTTCCATCTCGTGCACGCACAAATGTATCCCGTGCCCTCATTGGGCGTGCCGTCATTGGGCGTGCCGTCATTGGGCGTGCATTGCAGCAGTACTTCAATGACTCGCCAGCAACAGGCGGCCACTCTCACCAGTCTGCTGACGTCATGTGCGCGTTCATGTGTGTTGGAGGAGGTGCTCTGTAAGGAAGTCTGAAGGAAGGGGCGGATTCTTTTCGGCTGTGTACTTTCAAATGTTAGTGCACTCGAGCCGGTTTCTGAAACTTACCTACCCCACCTTTAATTATGTTATAATTTTTTTAAAGTTATATTTTGAGAATAAAGTAATTTTGTTTTATTATAATGCTATTTCAAGAATAAAGTTATATATTCATTTTTCATATATTTTCCCGAAAAAAGTCTGGAATTTCTTTTTTTATATTTCAGTAAAAACGGGATAATAGACAACAAAGTTTAAATGTTTGAAGGCAATATATATGAGGAACAAGTTGATTGTTATTAATTGAAAACAATGATTTACAGTACTGTCAATTCACTGATTCATTCATGGACTTATTATTTAAGCTGAACTTTTTTCTTTTTAACTTTAGACATCAATGAGTTAGTCTCCCTGAGCAGGTGGCACCTTGTACAGCAGCATCCGCTCTGTATGAATGACGAGTTGTATGTGTTAATCTTATAAATGCAGTCCTTTTACCATTTACTATTTTGTGTATAAAAAAAGAGTACAATATTTTCTTTTGAGATCAAAATAAGTACTCTTCTTAATTAAAAGTGCCTCAAATTGAAGTAAAGTACTTGAGTAAATGTATCTAGTTACAATCCACCAGTATTGTTGTTGTTGTTGTTGTTGTTGTTGTTGTTGTTGTTGTTGTTGTTATTGTTGTTTTTCATAATGTATGTGTTGTATCTCCAACAGGCCCTGGAATTATTTTGGTCACAAACCAGCAGAAAACTTCAAGATTCTCCACCCAGGTTTTATTTCCTACGTGACTCGCAGGTGAAGCGCAGCTGTAATTAGAGAATATATTAATGTCAGTATCTCAAGTTTTTATGTTTAAATTATTCCTTATTTTACGTTTTATTGTTTGTTTTTTATACATTTGTATTTGAATTATATTTTTCATTTTTTACTTTTTTTAAATGTCTTAATATTTGTTATCAATTTTATATTATTTTACATTATTATAAGTCGTTTTTTGTTATCATTTTCAGTTTCCTGCAGTCTCCTCTGCTGAAAGACATCAGGACTCGTCACCTCTACATGCCGAGCACCGGAGCTCTGATGCTGCTGACAGCACTGCACACCTGTGACCAGGTACACACGCACACACACACACACACACACACACACACACACACACACACACACACACACACACACACACACACACACACACACACACACACACACACACACACACACACACACACACACACCACACACACACACACACACACACACACACACACACACGCACACACACACACACACACACACACACACACACACACACACACACCTGTCATTATAGCATGATGCCTGTCTGCAGGTTTCTGCGTACGGCTTCATCACCAGGAGCTACGCGTCGTTCTCCAATCATTACTACGACTCCACCTGGCAGCCTCTTGGATTCTTCTCCAACCACGACCTGCAGATGGAGGGCCGGCTCTGGGAGGAGCTGCACCATCGGGGGGTCCTCAGGTTGTACCAGAGGGAGGGGGGCAACTGACAGGGCAAACATTTATACTAATAGATCAGAAGGAAACTTCCCTGGTTGATTTCTCACATAAGGACAATTATCTTTTGCAAGTATTCTAAAATGTTAGCTTTAAATATTCAAACGATGCCTTATCTAATGCTAGTCTAAATCTAGTCTTAAACTTGGAAAGTGCCTATAAAATGTCCAGTTTTAATGTACATTTTTTCGTAATCATAAACCTTTTAAAAAGGCACCTTACGTCTGATTATTTTACATTGAAATTTGACTGAATATAAGCATTAAGAAGCTTCATTAATGCAGTTTATTTTGTTAATTTTCAAAGCAATTGCTGGGGAATATAAGCTCGAAAATGTACATGGGATCCAAATTTGGAACGTGTCCATTTATACAAAACTGTCCTTATGATATATTTATCCTGTGTTTTACAATATAAAAACACTTTCCTAATATCTGCAACATTCATTACCAACAAGCTTGTACAATAATTAACTTTGTTTCAAATGTTTTATTTAATCACTCAAAAATGGTATACAACACTGATTTCAGATTCAATCTTTTTTTTAATAAAAATATATTTGCAAGTTATTGTTTCACTTTTCAATTTTAATAATTTGAGCATTCTGGTGATTATTTACTCATATACACAAACTAATATGGAGAACTTAGCTAATGCTGACTTATATTTTTTATATGAACTATGTGAGAATTATCCCTTTTTCGCTCCATTTTATTGACTCATGAACTCTGTAAAAGTTTAATAGTAAAATAATGAAAACAAATATATAATTTTTCTGAAGAGGAACATTAGCAAATGTTATAAATGAATTCCCCAACAACTGCTGAATATAAAAAGGCACCCTCTCTGGAAAAGGAGTGATACAATTGGGTGGGAGGGTCATATTTCATTAAGCTACACAACATGAGCCAGAAATAAACAGATAATAACTCATTCATATTTCAAAATAAAAGCACGACTTTTAATGTTTCTTCTTTCTGTCTTTTATTGCTCTAAGAACGTGTGTGTGTGTGTGTGTGTGTGTGTGTGTGTGTGTGTGTGTGTGTGTGTGTGTGTGTGTGTGTGTGTGTGTGTGTGTGTGTGTGTGTGTGTGTGTGTGTGGGGGGGGGGGGGTTTGTTTCATGTTTACAAAGATTACATTTTAGTTGCTGGAAAGTAAAACTTCTGAAATAAATGTGGGTACAGGCTAACCAGCTGAAAAACAGAACATTCGGGCTGCAACTGAAATAAATATATTTCCGGTTAAACTTTTTGATGAATAAAGAAGTATTTTTCTCAGTAAAACATCAGAAAAAAGAGACTAATTATAACTAATGTAAAGTATTGAAGTTGTTTGTTTCTTCAAAGTTACAGTTTAAAAAACCCAAATGTATTAATTACACTATAAATAATGACATAGAAAAGCAGTAAATCCATATATGAGCTAGCTGAAACTTGGTCATTTTGGGTATGTTGGATTGAAAAATTTACATTTTCGAAATGTATAAATTGCTTCTACTACATGTATGTTGGTGAATTATTCAATCATTATTTGTATTCAGAGTTTAAGTTTCCTTCTGATTGTTTTCTTTAACTAGCAGAAATGGGCTTCCATACCACATTACAAGTAAGTGACGACAAGCTTTATATATAAAGTCTATGGTGACAAGTAGCAGAATTACATTTAGTTGAAAGACATTTCTTTGTCAGGTTTTATTTAGAAAGGCTGATCCGGATGTTGTGCGTGTTGCTGTTAGTCACTTCACACGCCTCGTCCTGAACGCAGCAGCGGAGAGAATGTGGCATTCACGGAGAGGAGGGAAAACCTGGAAGAGCGTCACCGGGCAATGTGACGTACAAAGTAGGCTACTAAAGTCCGTAAAATTATGATATATGTGTTGGTTAACTCTGTTTGGGGATTTAACCACTATCTAACACGCTTGGAAGTTAACACTCCTGGGATATAAAACCCCACTTTTCTGGAATATCAACACAAGGAATACTCTGCCAGATCTCCGGAGTTTTCCTACAAACCGTGGTCCGCTACATTTCATGGGTTGAAAAGTTTAAAACATAACTGACTAAAAGAGGTAAGTTTCATACAAGATTGTTTTTTCTTATTAATGTTTCGCTTTTAAGAAACGTGTGGTTACAAGTGCTTTAACTAACTTCGGTGCAAAGGTCGGTGTTGGTGGAGGTGCTCTCCCACGGTCTGTTTACATGCCAGACTCCTGCCGCGAAATGCGGGTTCCTCCGGTGCGGAAAAAGCTTCTCACCGAACTCCCTTCTCATCTCTCTAAACTGGAGCCGTTTATTTAAAAGACAACTCCATATCAACCCAATAAAGATTTGAATATCATTTACTAAATATATGTTCAACATCACCAAGGAGCACTTAGTTTCTGTAAAATACAAGGTGAATATTGGTTTATAGCTTGCCAACCATTGTGAGTATTTAAGTTGAAGACTTCCAGTTTTTAGAGGTTTATCAGTGCTTTTGAGTGCTTTAAATATAGCCGAATTGGCAACAGACTACAGCTTAATTATGAAAATCCTCCAAATACATGTTTTATTTGTGTTTTAAGTGGTTGATGTGGATGGGAATGTAGAATAAGATTTTTTTTAACGGAGTCTGGCTTGAAAATGTGCTTGCATCAAAGAAAATGGCACATTTCGAAGCTTATTAAAATGCAACTTGTTAAACACTGAGACTTTTCTATATCTTCAGATGCAAATCTTCAATTCTGCCTTCTATGATATCACTAAATGGCACTTAAAATATACGGTAAAAACTGGATGAATTGGCTTTAGTCACCTTTGTGGGTGAATGAATACAAGACTTCCAGTGTGAAAGGTTAATCAGTGCTAAGTGCTTCACGTAGGCCTACTGTTGAATTGGCAACAGACAATAATGCAAAACGTCAAAATACATGTTATGTTTGTGTTTCATCTGGTAGATGAGAACGGGAATTTTTTTAACGGAGTCTGTCTTGAAAATATCGATGAATCAAAGAAAATGGCACTTATGGAAGCTTATTAAAATGTAACTTGATTAACACTGACACTTTAGTATGTATTTTGAGATATACATATTTAATTTGGTGTACTATGATATCACTAAATGGCTCTTCAAGTCAGTAAAATGTAAGGTCACAATTGGATTACATGGGTTGCCAACCCCTTTTGTGCATAAATGAATACAAGACTTTCAATGTTAAGGGTTTTGCAGTGCCTTTTAGTGATTCAAATATCCCCGAATTGACAACTGACTATTATTTCACGCAAAACCTCTAAATACATGTTGTGTTTATGTTTATTGTGATTAATATTAAAGGAAAGTGGAATTTCTAACTTTTCTAATGGAGTCTGGCTTGACAAGCATCAAAGAACATGACACACCTTGAAGCTGAATACGGCTTTATTGCACTATGCAAACATCTTTTGGGGGTTGGCAATGTGGAAAGACAGCCAAACAGCTTCATGAAAAACTATTCATCATGGTAACACATTTCATTATTCACTACTCTAACATTACTTTAAAGTAATATCTGTCAAATGTTTCTTGTTTCAGAGCAATACGCTGATGTATTCACTTTGGAACACGTCTCTGAGACTTGGAGCCCCTGCAGTGTCAAAGAGAAATGTACGAGTATTGTTCATCTTGTCATGAATGCAGTGACAATACAAAATGCCTGAGGGAGGAAAGAGGGGAGGGGGGGGGCGTGATGGGTGTAAATGGGAATGACAGCTCTGCTTACGCCCTGTGCTCCTCTGTGGCTGCTGGTTATGTAATGAAATGAGTTGTAACCAGGAAAACAGTGCAGTGCCCTGTGATCCGCCTGCAAAGCCTCTTTCTGTTTATATAGCAGCACTGCTTTTTTTGAGGCCCGGTGCTGCAGCAGTGATCATGTTCTCATGCAGAGATCAAGACTGTCAACTGTGATGACGGTTATCTGAAAGAAACTGGAGCACAGACGCAGCTCTGACTTAACTCTGCCAACTCCTTCCTCTCATATCTGAGTTGTGCCTGGGCACTGGGCTGGAAGAGTTTAAGTAGCTGTCCTGCCGCTGAAATGAAGTGGACGCATATATTGTATCACAGAGCCCCGAGGGAAGCAGCAGAGCAGGACAAGTCAGCCACACAGGGACTCAACGTCAGGTGGTTTCACCCAACCCAAATGTAGATTCATAAATGGAGTTTGGTGTTCAACTCCTCTGGTTTAGACATTTCAAATCCACTTCATGGAGTTTGGTATAACACCATTGTTTGCCGGGTTTAACATAGCTGGTTCTCAAATGTTGAACAATTCAGTGGAGTTTGGTGTAAAACCCCTTTGTGTTCAGTGTTATATAACCCATGGTTTAAACATGTGAAATTGTTCTATGGAGCTTGGTGTAAAACCATTGTGTGCAGGGTTTAAACACCTCTTCCTCCAGAGAAACAGACTTATTCTTTAATCATTTACAACTTTTTTCACTGGCTTTGTGACATGCAACAACATGAACCTTTCTGTTGGTCGCTTGTTAGCAGACCCTTCACGCGATAGCAGAGCGAACAGGTACAGGAGGCGTAGAGCGAGGGATCATTGTCCACTAGTGAATCGATCGCAGATGGCGTCAAAAAACCACCTAAATGGGTCGCGAAATATACTTTGGCGGCCGTTAATATACCTGGGCGGCCCACCCAAGTTAAGACTGTGTGGGAAACCCTGGCTTTAATGTGTCTTAAAAATGGGGGTTGCTAAAAACGGACTAAATGAGACTACTAAACGACATAATGCCGAACATTAGCCGCTGTTAGCTTAGCAGTTGTCATGTGGCGTTGTAGTTTGTTTATAGCCTAAGTTTAGCTTTTCACTTATTTAATATCCTTTAAATTTGAACAATGATAAAGGGGTGTATAAATGTGGAGATTATCTTGCTGAACAAAATATGTTTATCATTGACCTTTGTTTGCCAAGGCATTTTGTTTTCTCAATTATATTCTGTACAAATTGTACAGTCCACTGAGACACATGTAACATTTGTGATATTGCAGTGTTTCCCCTACCATTGTCTTGGAGGGGCGCTTAAATATATATAGCCCCAAATAATCTATTAACGTCACTTTTCACATTGAACATGTGCTCTTTTATTAAATAAACTAAACTCTTTCATTTTAAGTTGTGAGTTTAGTGTTTATGACCCTAAGAAACACTGAAGCATTAATCAATAACAATAGTCCACAGCTCCTCTCTGTAAGAAATATATATCCCCCCCCCCCCCCCCCCCCCCCCCCCCCCCCCCCCCGCTCAGGCAGCACCCCCCACAAAGCAGTAAACCTAGGGGAAACACTGTATTGGGTTATATAACTAAACGTTGATTGATTGAATTATCCAAAATCCAATGGAAAAATCCCCTTGTGTTTTTGTGTAGGAAACCAGGGAATACAGAAATACATCAACCCAGCGCCACTCTGAAGAATTGTAGTCCTTGTAGTAACTTTAAGTTGCGTACAACATCTGCGAGTAAACCTGATTAGATTTAATAAGGGATTAAACAGGATCAGCTCTGATGGATTTTGGGTTTATACAATGCTACTCAACCTAAATCCTGTTCATCTGTTTAACTCTTTAACTTGACCTCATTAGAGCATTTGTGGTCGTAGTAAAACACCTTCAGGAGCTCCTGAGGGTTTTTCAGTTTTATACTTTTCTGATCTGGTTTTCTCATTTCTCCTCAGGACTGAACCACATCACCTTCTCCTCTGACATCCTGGAAATAACATCTTCCCCCCAATACAAGAACAAAAGAGTGCAAAGAAGTCTGCGTAGGAAATTAGGATCAGTGTCCCCGCCTAGGCAGACTCCAGAGGACTTATATGAATTTGAGTGTGGAGAGTCTCACCTGAGGCAGGTCTTCATGCGTCCGACACGCAGCATGAGGCTCTGAGGAGGATTTTAAATAACGCTGGTTAAAGGAGGAGGATGGGGAAGGAGCAGGACCTGCTGCAGGCGGCGAAGAGCGGAGACCTGCTGTCCACCCAGAAGCTGCTGTCCAAGCTCAAAGCCAACAGGAACAGTAAGTAACACTATGCTTTTATTTTGAAAAAAATGGCTATAAGTTACAACGTGCTTTTATTCTGAAAAGATGGTTGTAAGTTAAATCATTTTTTTATTCTGAAAAGTTGTTTGTAAGCTACACCATGCTTTTATTTTTGAAAAATGGCTGTACATTTCGGCATTCTTTTATCCTGAAAAAATGGCTGTAGGTTGCACCAGGGTTTCCCACACATAGACTTTACCTGGGCGGGCTTGTTGTATTCTTGTTTTATCCGTCCGCGAGCACGACACCATCTGCGATCAATTAACTACCCCTCCTGTACCTGTTCGCTCTGCTATCGCATGAAGGGTCTGCTTTATGCGCTCCGCAGTAACTCTGCTGCGAGGCTCCGGCGAACAGTTCATGAGCGTGCTCCACTAGCACCCCCCAACCCCCCGGGTTCCCGGCTACCACCACAAGTGTATTTCCGATCTGTGGGAAACACTGGTTGCACCATGCCTTTATTTTTGAAAACATGGCTGCAAGTTACACCATGCTTTTTATTCTGTAAATTGGTTCTAGGTGTCACTACCCGATCTGCCGCCCTGCCCTATCTGCAGTGCGCATGTGCGAGATGGTCCGCCATATTGGACAATTACATACGGCAACTCTAATAGGACACTTAACACAGTGGCGTTTGGCAAAGCAGAAAAAGAACACTCAAAAAACCCGACAATATTAATCTGAACGAGAGAGATGAGTTATTGTTATTACAACGTGACTTCACTATTCTTTTTGTGCTTTGCCAAAAGCCACTGTGTCAAGTGTCCTATTAGAGTTGCCGTACGTAGTTGTCCAATATGGCGGACCATCTCGCACATGCGCACTGCAGATAGGGCAGGGCGGCAGATCGGGTAGTGACACTAGGTTACACTGTGCTTTTATTAAAACAAAATGGCTGTAGGCTAAACCATGCCTTTGTTCAGGAAAATGGCCGTAGGTAACAATATGCTTTTACTCTGAAAAATGGCTGATGCATTCACAGTTATCTTTGGAGGTTGCGGCTTCTGAAGCTGCAGGGACTTCCTGTTGTTATTGGTAATTGCTTTTCATTGGCTAATGCTAAATAATAGAGGTTACGAACAACGATGCATTCAAGTGCTCCTCGGATGGTCTCCTTTTGATGTGTTCATGAGCTTTAAATTGTGGAAACACCATTGATACTTCAAGGAAGATGTGTTGTATAAATGTTGCTCGCTGATTGAATTGGGTCCCTTACTTGTTGTTGCACCTGTAAAAACCACTAAAAGGTTGCTTTTCCTAATTTTTCTGACTTTCTTTTTACATGGAGAGCAAATAACGGTTTCACAATAATACCATATTACAAATGATTTGAGCAACTGAATTGTATGCAATACTTTTTAACCATCAAGGATGCACAAGAACGGCTAAGATGTAGTGGAAAAAGATTTAAAATTCCAAATCAATTCTTCTTCTTCTGAAAATGTGATATTTATTGAGGTTGAATTAATAATACATTTGACAAAAATGATCGTCTGCAGTGAATACATAAATGTTGCATCATGGGATATTTGAGGACAGCTACTGCTTCAAATGTAGATTCCAACCACACCAGTGTATTATCTTTGATCTCTGAGAGTAAAAGGTTTAGCCTCAGTCTGGATCTCTAAGAGACAAGTCTTTTGACCTCCTTCTCTCTGTCCGTGTGACGGGTGCAGACGCCTCTCTGTCGCCTCGCTGCTTGCTGGAGACAGAGAAAAGGGCCCCGGGGCCGGCAGGAGGTCGCCTTTTATCACACGGCCCGCGTCCTGCGTGACCTCTGACCTCTGCAGGGGGTCAACACATGATGCGTTTATGAAAGTTTCAGGATGGGAGTAACCATCAGAAGGTTAACTCTAAAGAATGAAAGCGAAAGTACAGAAATATGTTATTGTCAACATCATTTATATTATCCAGCAGTGTGCAGAAAGCAACAAAGATAACACATTGATAAAAAGCGCTTAGGAAAAGGCAGAAAACCCAAATTACACAATGTTATAGAGAACAATATATAAATATACAGATACAAGTTGGATAGAACGACCATTCGTTGGGAATTGTTAATAAACAGTATATTATATTACTAAAGCTTTCACACTGTTAATGCAAGGAGCAGCCATCTTGGATTTTGAGGTCAAGTTTAGTGAAATCTGACTTCAGAGGCCTTCCAGTTCAAATATCCGACTGGATACAAATGTTACGCCTTATACATTTAGTTTCCAACTCCATGTTTTACTAGCTTTGTTTTTTCTTGTTGGTTTGATTCCCAGTGAGAATATACCAAAGCAAATTCTTCTGATGTGTAAACCTACTTGGTAATAAAACCGATGCTGATTCTGAGAACACTTCAGTAGCCATTATTTAAAAATAATCCTAAAAGTTGCTAGGAGGCGGAGTTAACAACGGGGAGGTGGAGCTTAAGACAGGTTTTAAGAATGGCAGGCGGGGTTTAAAACTTGGAGGCGGGGTGTAAGTAAAACGTTCCAATGGATGCGGAAGAATGCTGGAAGATCTAAAGAAGATCCGGGTATTTTTGTACTTCAAAGTCAAGCCATTCTGGATGCACAGAACAACTTCAATAGGAATGAATGGGACCCTGGGCAAAATAGGGACATATTATTATAAGACTAGAGATTGCTTGGTCATTTCCTGGTTTTATAGGCTGCTTTAGTAGTGTTTAATTCTTAAATTGTGATTATTTGTCTTTACCCACTTCAAACCGTCATTTTATCCACATTGCTAGGTATTTATCAAAATTTTTTTAATGAAAGCTTCAAAGGTCCAGCTTACAATATTGTCGCAATATTGATGTTGATGTACTTAATCAGAAAAGCACTAATATAATATCCATGGGTCGGAAAGTAGTTTTTCTTGAAAGTTCCACATGACATGAACGCAGAATCACTTGGCAGCAGGTGCTCGTCCTGCTCCCTCAGGGACTTCCTGCAAACCGTCACATGACCCCCCTCCCCCCCCCCATTGTCCTCCAACCCAACACGCCCCATCCATCACCTCCTAGGTTACATGAGAGCGTCTCCATCATTGTTACAGCTGTTTAATGTGCAGGAACTCTGCCAGGTTTTCTTCATAAGGAAAAGCTTTTTTTACTTACTAACAAGAAAACCTTTGACAGTCTTGTCTTTATATACTTCAGTGCATGTTACGTGGTTTTTAATGCATATTTGTGACCTAAACTGTCCTCCTGACATCTGCTGCGCCACTATCACCCGAATCTCCCAGATGGTGCCCCGCCAGGATTAACGGGAATTATATCTCTGGGGAGGGACGGGGACTGGGTGGGGGGGCCGCTGTGGAATCCCTTCCCACAGCACTGCAATTCACAGTCAGCACTCGGTGAATGCAACTCTATTACATTACCGTTTAACCCATTATTCATCAGCTCAAGTTACTTCTGAGGCATTCTTTAACAAAGTGCTTGGACAGTTACACTTCATTTAGTCCCATTCACACTGTAAGCAAGGGCTACATTTTTCTCAGGAAACTAATCTAAGAAACCCACTTTATTTCGGAGCCATTTCTACGCAAAACAATTGTTTCCTAAATCTTCGAAAATGTGATGTTTTTATTTTTTGACATTAAAATATCCTGGCAAGAAGTTTTATTTTTAAAGTAAAACTAGAGACAAATATTCCCATAAAGTTTGATTCCATATTCAGTTAATGCTTATTTTAATACAAACAGAAACTGTATCTAAAGGAAAGCCTATTATATACAACATATATGGAGGCCAAAAGTTTCAATTCAATACTTATTTCCTTTATGAGTAAATGGATGTTTTCATTCAAGGAAATCCCTAAATCTTCTCTAATTAAGTACAAAAGTACATAGTCTCTCCAGCAAATTTCAGAGGAATTTATTAATGTCGAAAATCCACTTTACTGGTGATCCATGCTTTGAGAAAGTGAAAGTAATGTACGCTCTTTCTGGCTCTATATACAATTACAGGATGGACTTTTTTTCTGACATAATTTCACAGAAAATGTCCTTGAGAAAGTAAAACTATAACAAATGTAATATTTAAGATTCAAGTTAATTAGTTCTGCGTACAATCTAACAGTATTTTACTTGGCTTACACAATGTAAAACGTCATTACATTCACCCTGTAATCACTATTACAGGGTGAATGTTTCTATTCACCCTGTAATAGAAACATGTGATGGAGCATTACTAACCTGACCCAGACTCTTTGTTTCACCAAACCATCTAAAGCTCCATTGGAAGCCATTTGGAAAAGTATTTCAAAAATACTTGGCAGGTGATTGGATCAATCTGTCTATCACCTTCTATCATGGGCCACTTCTGATTGGTTAACAATGGCTGATACATGTGGAGCACAGCACTTCTGATTGGTGTGGATGACTGACACACAAGAAGAACAAAAAAATGCAGGCTTTCCGATTTGATAATTGCATCATTTCAAATCACCATTTCGATTTAAAATCGATTAATCGTTCAGCCCTACTCCACACACTCGCTCAGACTGAAATGTTTTATTTATGAGTTTGAATTAAAACTCAGACAATCATCCGCCACAAAACCCAGCCTCTCTGCAGAGCCTCTGTGTTATTATGGACGGTTTTACTCTGCAGCTCGTCTCAGTTTCACCCTACATACTCCCTTTACCTCAAAGACTTCTGGGACTTCAAATCTCACTCGGAAAGTTTAACTCCAATCGAAATCCTGGGTGAGAGAGTGAGGCTTCTCTGTTTTACTGCAGGAAACCTACCACGGGTATAAATCAAAACATTACCGACCCAAATGAATGAATAGCTTAAAGGATGATTTACATTTTGTTTTCACACAGTTTTGATTATTGACATTTTCACCACATACAGATCAGCAGTTCAGTTTTTTTTGTTCAAATGCCGGTTCTCGGAGAGGTCAATGTATAGGTTAATACCTCTATAATGATATTGAAAATATACAAAGAAATTAAAAACATTTCAGTTGTTTCAAT